CTGCATTAAGTCAAGTATTGATTAGACCACTTCCACTGCAGGCAAGAAGAGAAAAAAGAAGAGTAAATCTATTTTTTTCTAACAATTCAGAATGCGACAGTCTGCCTTCCTTCCCTGGTCCCTCTTCAGTGAGGAAATATGACTCTGGTTAAGAAATCTTTGAACAAGATCTAGACTGCCTTTCATAATTTATGTACGTCCCCTTAATTAATTTTCTTGGTCTCCCTATCTCTGTTTCCCATTTGTACAATGTAATAGCACAGCTTAATCACCTCACAGAGATGTTCAAGGTGTAATCCATTATGTTTATGAAGTGTTCAAAGACATTTTGCTGAAAATTTCCAGGTAAATGCAGAGAAAAGATCAAATGTGTAGAAGTTCCTTATGAAGGACACAATATATATTTTAAAAGAAGTAGAGGGGGGTTTGGTTGTAAGCCAGTTGTGAGTGCAATCCAAAAAAGGAGGTAATGACAGAAGTTTTTCAGTTTGTTATATTTATCATGACACAAAGAGACCTTTCAGAAAGGCCAGTAGTGTTTCAAATTATCAAAATCAATGTAAATTATACGTAAATATCGATTAGTTGTGTCCTGCTCTGTATTTCACTTAATAACCGGTGACTTCCATTGCCTTTAGCAAAGTCCAAGAACCCCGGGATGAGTTATCTAGTATAATGTAATGTTTCCTTCTAAATTGGTTATGAAATTTGTTTGAGTTTACATTTTTCTTCATTTATGGCCTGATCCAATATGTTACATTCAGTTGGAGCTTTCAAGTTCATTTCAGCAGACAGGGATTAAGTTTAGACCACTGTGAGAATAATACCCATGTTAGAAGTTGGCATAGCAACCAACTGCTGCACTTGACGGAAATCACTTTGGAATCAAGTACCCAAAACATTACTTCTATCCAAAGCATAGGTGCATCTTACTGGTGTAATGTTTCCAAGTAACTCGGGGAGGAATACCAACTCGTACTCATTTAATGTCGTTCCTCATAGCACTTCCTTAAGAGCTCTTCTTTCACTAGCCATACTCAGTGATGTGCAGACACTTCCCAGTTATACCAGTGAAAGTTTGGAAATAGTAGGATATTATTGCAAATAATATGGAATTAAAGCAGAATGGTTGAAAATAGCATCTGAGTTTTAATGGCAAATTTTGCAGTTGATAGAAACACAATTCCCTTATGTTTAGTGTCCATCATTTTCATTTTAATAAATTGTAATGCAATAGCATGTATGTAACAGTCAAGACAACAGATTGTGATATAATGAATCTGCTATACGTAAATACTCCTTGTTGTAGTTACTCATCTCTGAAATATCTTTAAAGCCTGGAAACTGGACAAGCATTGTTTGCTATTTAAAATCACCTTATTGAATCCCTCAAGCAGTTTAACTGCATGTGGTTACAATAAACAGTGGCTAGGAAACTGCTGTAGAAAAAAAAAATAATTTGCTCTCAGTTTTTGTATCCCAATGAGGGAAAATTAGAGTTGAACAAAACGCCAAATTGATTGCCCGAATATTTAAAATGCTCATATTTTATGAAGGTTGTTAGATTACCCTTTTTTAGCAACTAATGCATATCAAAAATTACACGGGTACTCAGTGATGTTATTGCCTAAAGGTTAAAAAGGAAAAAAGATTCTGCAGAGAATGAGATTCTATTCCAGCTTCTTAAATGGCATTATGTCTTTAGGGTCGTGTAGATGTTTCTGCTTAATATGTCATTATGACTTCACTGACAAAATACTACGACACTACAAACATCAGACCAAAGCATAATAGTTGTATTGCAGTTTCTTTGTGTTTGCTGCCTTAAGAAAATCTCCTCTGCTTTCTCTAGCACTTGCTGAAAATTGAGCAAGAAATCAAACATGATTCCAGAGTATTGCTGTTTGGTCACAGGCCTGTGGGGAAAGTACCTTGGTTTATAGTCCTTCCTACAGTGTCTCTTTATACATGTATCTGTAAAAGAACAATTGCCTGCAATTAGATTATTTGCTAGATACTACATTACCAGGTCCATGGCTGATTTCATCATACACCAAAGACATTTGCATGTATTAATGCGTTCCACATAACATTCTTTTTTAAAAATCTCTTCTTTCTTGGTTACACAAACAGCACCTGAACAGGTGATTTTTATTTTTCCCTCAGCACTGTTGCTTACCAGAAGTGTTCTCAAAGGTGTTGATGTAGCTGCAATTTGTACAACTGAGATGGAACGACTCTTTATGAGAGTTTTCACTGTAGTTGCAGTTACAATGTCTATAACTGCAAACCTGTGGAAAGCATATGTGCATTAGAGCACAACCCCTAAGGATATATTAAAAAAATCACAGCGTAATCAATACTGTAAAAAAGATACTCTGGAGCTGTGATAGCTAGAAACAGCTGAAGTGCCCCTTATGCACAGATTACAGCTCACGTATTTTACATTTTACAGAAATATTATCAGTATTTTCTCATTGATTCATGATACTAATATAGAATATTCTGCCTCTATCACTAGCAGGAACTGTAAATGTCCTTGTTATGAAACTCAGTAGATTAATAGATGCTTATAAGGAGATGTTGCATTACAAGGAACATTTCATAAAAGTAGCATATAAGAAAAGTTTAATAACGCTAGGTTTGCTGTGCTGGAGGTTCTGTTTATCCAGAGTCAGTTACGAGAGAGGTCTAGTGCTTCTATCATAACCTCTGCTGAGCACATTTGCACAGCGTACAGTTGGCAGGTTTAGTTCAAGACTGACTCAGCATTATAATAACTTTGCAAAGCAATAGTGGACTAAAGAGTCCTACTGTGCATACTACATCTGTCTTCCAGAAAGTCCAAAATGAATGTATCTGTATAGGAAAACATGGTGCCAGCTTTCCTTCCAGGAAAAAAGACGCAGATTTCCAAACTGCATACCTGTATCCTGTGTTGTGTCTGCATTAACTTGGGCAAGTTTTTCAGAATTAAGAAAGCTATCTGTGGGTCCTAATCTAAATTCAGAATGCCTACAGTGATATTACTGTGCGTTCTAGCTGAAATCCATGGTTACTATGGATAAATCCATCTGATATCCAGGTAAAATTGTCATGGGCTGACTCATGTGGGCACCTCTTTTCTCTGTTTTTTGGTTTATATAAGCTGAAGAGGTAGTATGTGTGGGTACAAAATGGCTTTGTAGATCATGTGAAGTATTTTCTGATGTTCTCATAAGTTAATATTAGGGATTGAGGATGCATGTTTCACTTCTATGTAGCTACAAGTGACCTCCCAGGAGATTTAAACAAACACCAACACAATTATTCATTAATGACTTTTGTGTTCATTTCTAATGTGTGACAATTTAGATCTTAACTTAAGAAGGAAAACGTCGATGAATGGTATTATGTATGTTGTACCCTCCTTGATAAGTTTGCCTGTCATTGGCAACAGCTCATTTCAAAAATTGAAATGAGTATTTGCTTAGTTTGTGATTCTACAGCGAACTTCCTTTACTTGCATTGTATAGTCTAATAACCCATTCATGCAATGTTTGAATGCAAAAATGCTATTCATTTCAGAATTTCCACTCTCTTGGGTTGCAGTGTAAGACAAATTCTTCTTAATAATGACTTAAGCAGTAGGTGTTCAGTGAATGTGATAGCAATAAGGTAACTGTTCTCAGTCAAACACTGGTCTCAGTTTCAAGAACTACCTTTTATTGAGCAAATATTTTGTCACCTATCTGTCTATAATAATAGTTTGTGCAAAAATTCCTACCAGCAAAAAAATATGATTCCTTAGGTCTGTGTAAAGTAAGAACCGTAAGAGTAGGCATACATCTTTCTCTCTGTGGTTCTGTTTAAGACTAGTAACCAATAGGATTATGCTCGGGGGAATTTGTAGTATTCTCAAGTAGCAATTGGACATGAATAAATGCAATATTTAGACAGAAACTGATTTACTGATTTTTCTGTAGTGCGATGAAAGGGCAGTGAAGGTGAAAATGCTAACATAATGCTAAAAAGGCAGTAAAAGCCCACAGGGACACTTCATAAGCTGATTCCCACAAAACTTTGTAATTCACTGCATAATAATATGCTTCTGAAACACTTACTTCTTGTATGGCATGGTGATATTGCTGGAGTACTGATTGAGCAGAATAATAAAACTAAACATTGCCTGTTAATGTACCTGGTCAGATCTGAAAAACACAGAACATGTATTTCACAGTGCATTTACGCTGACAGAGAACCAAGTGGTATATTCAGATGTGTCTATGACTGAGGATGGGATACTCCTGCTGTTACATAAAATCAGGTTCACATCCAATTATATGTATGAAAAATGTGTGCGATACTGTTATGATGCAAGCAGAAGTAAGGAGCAAAAGGAGTTTTGGAAGAGTTAAGTTCTTAATACATACTATTTACACAGGAATGTCATTCTACAGAGCATCTGTGTTAGGTCACTTTTTAGGGATCCGGGAAAAGATGAATGTGCAAGTCACATGACTCCTCAGAGAGATGGTACCTGTGGAGATCCCTCTTTCTTTTCTGTAATTATATGTGACAGAAGCAGCATATACACTAATGCAGGTTTTCACAGACCCACATAGGACTGGCGTTTATAATTGTTACTCCGTTTGGCTACCACACAACCATAGTTGTCCTTTCTAACTTGACACCTGACACAGCTTCTTAACCATTTTGTAACAACCAAAGAAGAACCTGCTGACAGGAAGTCAGCAAGTTTGTGGGGTTTCCTCACTACAGCAGAGTTGAAAAGCCTAACTTGTGGCCTGCTCTTTGTTTTGTGTAGTTTTTCCTAAGAACCTCAGATTTCTCAGAACATGAAGATTGAAGCTGTGGGTACTACTACCTCTAAAAAGAAATCAATTGTGCCTTAAAATACAAGTACTGCATAATTATGTCACTAGTGTGCTGAGGCACAAGAATCTTATTTATGGTTAGAATGCTATTAAATGCTTTTATTTCAACTCCTTTTATTGCAGAACATGAAAAGCAGTGGTTATGCAAAAGCACAGATTATATGAATTTGCACTTCAAAGTGAAATGGTTTTATAACGAATATGTGAGAGAACTCTCCGCTTTCAAGGATGCGGTGCCTGAATACTCTCTGTAAGTAGTGTACAGGGAAGTTTCCCGTGAGTTCAGTCTTGGTGTAAGGTTTATTTTGGTCAAATATTTATGGTCAAGTTTGTGCAAGATCTCAAAGTGTGTAGCACTGACAATCTTTACTTTCTGCACTTCGTTCTCTTTATTTCTTTGTTCTATCAAATGAAATAGTCTGGATATTTAAAATGCAGTTAACTGTTTCATTGGACGCTTGATTCCACTGGTGTAACTGCAGGTCTTCATAGATGACAAAATAGTTTGGCCAGAAAATGCCTGAGGAAGGTATGAAACATGGGAACAGCAGCAGTATTAGTTATAGGCCCCTGCATTTGTTTCACACCCAAATTTGGATAAAGATACAAAGCTAATGGGATATACTACTGAAGGTATTCTCACTGCGCTGGGTTAATATTCAGCTGCTTTCAATTTCATATTTCCTCCTGCAATTAATACTTTCAATCCTGTCCTTTTCTATGAGCTATCCTTAATCTCATTCCTTAATGTTCTGCTAGTCTGCTGATTTGCTGAGATGGTTTGGGGTCTGTTATTGCATTAAATTTTTTTGAAATAAACTAAAGAAAAATAAACCACAGCTGATGTTGTGCTAAAGCAAAGTTTTATCTGAGCTATTTCACATACAAATAAAAATTAAATGTTAACAAAGAGCCAATATTGATAAAAGACACTAAAATCTAAACACTGTGCAGAGCATGTTGCTCTGCAAAACATCGGCACATTACTCTGGTGGCTACCGCTAATTTTACATCACTCCCGTAGACCAGTTAGAGTATGGTGAAACAAAAGCCTGAAAGACATTTTAGTAGCCACAGTGTCTTCACTGACAAAAACTTTTCAAGGATGATAGACTTTTTAGCAACTAGAACAGATGTGAAGACACAAGATGCTGAACTGCTGCGTGGTGCGGCATCTCTCAGCGCATTTACGAAATTTGCTTACTTTAATTTACAACATTGTTTTTAATTTTCAGGTGGTTTGAACCATTTGTCATTCAGTGGCTGGATGAAAATGAGGATGTCTCAATGGAGTTTCTTCATGGAGCACTAGAAAGAGACAAAAAGGACGGGGTGAGCCTTTCTTTTTTCAAGAAAATAATAAAGTATTAAGATGGTTATTTAGTATTGCAAAACCAGAAGTACATTTGGTCCCACCTCATCCTTGTTACACCTCAAAGACACGCAATCAGGAATGGTTCTTGGAATATAACCCTATGGAAAAATTCCTGCTCTAATTCATCTCCCCAAATTCCCTATAGACTTCAATATATGGCTTCACTAAACTCTGATGTGATACTGATGTCATTAAAAATAAATTTGGGTTTATTTTTAAGAGGTTTTTAAGTGATAGAAACATGAAAAACTACATTTCTCAGTATTATCAGTAAGAGAGGTTTTTAATTTATGTTTTATTACTCTTTATGACTCTAGGAGGACTTTCAACTGTAAGAAAATCAGTTAATAACCATTTTGATCTCTGAACAAGTATTAACTCATTTGAATGTTTCTTTCTAGTTTCAGCAAACATCAGATCATGCCCTTTTCTCTTGTTCTGTGGTTGATGTCTTCACTCAGCTCAATCAAAGCTTTGAGATTATTAGGAAACTGGAGTGTCCTAATCCAGAAACTCTATCTCATTTAATGAGAAGATTTGCAAAGGTAAATTAAAATCAATGCATCCCAACTAAGCTTCAGAGAGAGTGACATTGTGTTGCCGTGTACTTAAACAGCTAAGTAGTTCCAGTGTTGTTTAAAACCAATCTCTTCTATCTCTGACTTAGAAAGTCATGGTGTCTGTGGCATAAGACTGTTTTTCATCTATTTTGTCAAAATCATTTACCAGTTTGAGAAGTTCTGTTTTCTCTGAGATTTCATATTTCTCTCTGCTATACAATAAATTATTATTATTGGTAAGCACTGATTACAAGTCCATTAATGGAGCAATTCACTGAAATGCAATGCAAGGATCTAATTAGTGCAAGAGAAAGAAAAATTCAAGGTATGGCAATAAAATGTTTGTGGTTGAAGCCCTGAGGCAGTGGTACTTATTTATCTGCTGTTTGATAAACTTAGGGCTTTTAGAATTTCTGTTTGGATTGTAACATTTCCTCACAAGCTTTAGATTTCCATTTATTCCTGATGGCTTTAAAAAAAAATTGCATTTACATTTATTCCTGTTCTTCCATTGCAACAGTTTTCCATTTGCAAGCAAAGTTCCTATTTACATATTACTGTAAGGTAAGCTCATATGACCAGGCTTTGAACAGTGCTCCCTTGGTCTTACTTTTTCATTATATTTTTAATCTGTGCATTGTCACTGTAGAGGATTTTTTGAGCTTGCTACTGTTCCATTAAGTATGCAGCACATCACAAGGAGTAGAGCTCTCGATGCTTCTCAAAAGCAGTATGACTAAAATTGAAGTATCTTTGCTGTTGAAGATTATACTCCTCTAAGAACAACCCACCATCTGTTGTGCAGGGATTTGAAAATGAGCTCACAGGATTGCTGATATTATATATAAAGAAATACTATATACTAAGTGTGTAAGCACCTGTAAAATCTAGAATTTCTATAAACCTCCTTTTTGTGGGGTTTTGTATGACATTTTTACATTATGAAATTTACCATTTAAAAGATTCTTCTCTTCTCCTAGACTATCAACAAAGTGCTTCTTCAGTATGCTGTGATTATTTCAAGTTACTTCAGCTCTTATTGTGATAAAGAAAATGTGGTGAGTAATAAGCTGTGTTTTCTTTCTGGCTCAGAACTTACCTTTAAGTGAGTTGCTGTACTTTTTGAAAACGTAATCATTGTTGCACATCAGAAAAACCATGAATGGTGGAAGGGATTTTTGGTTTGATTCATATTTTTTAATAAGATCAGCATGTTTTCACAGCTGCTTACATTGCTGTGTAAAAGCTGGAATAGGTGGAATTGGTTAAGAATTAGGATCCTAGCTAGTACTTTCAGTGTTAAAGTAGAAAAAAATTTAGAAGATGGTCAGAAACACTCCCTGGATAACAGCCATGTGCAATGGTGACTATGGTGAATGTGTCTTCATCTTTTTTCCCAAACAGGAGGAAGTATTTTTGGTTGAGCTGTCATTTTGCATTGGCTTGCTTCTCTTTATCAATTTGTTCATTAGAGAATGCGTAAGATCACTGTTCCTTGTGCAGGGAATGTGTGCAGACTTTTCTGCTACTACCATTCACTCTCTGTGATTTATCAATGCAGCACTGAGAAAGAAAATCATGTGCTATTCTGTTACCTCACTGCTTACAAGGGACTCCCTAATGAAGGACTAGATTACCATGGATACTCAGATATAAATGAGATATGTACACTAAACATATGGTTAAACAAATCAAGACAGTATCAATAGCTTAACACAACCAAGGAAAATTGTTCTTTTTAACTGACTTTTCAGAATTATTGATTTTCAGCCAAAACTAGTACTCCCAAGGCAGGCAACATTTAGCACTGTCTGCTATATTTAGTAATATGTTGTTATCATTCTTCGATTAGATAAATAACTGCTGCACCATCCTCTTACTATTCACCTTTAAAAGTACAGTTCTTACATAGCTCAGATCTCAGTTATATTTGTCATATCCCTGTGCATGGCTTGAGGATGTGCTCATTCTTGCAAGCGCTCTCTGTAGTGTGATACACTGCAATAATCTAGAGGTTACCAACATACACACAATAAGAGAAATAAAAAAGATATCTATTGCAGCTAATTATCAGTTATTGGTGGTTGGTGCTCTTATGAACAACATCACAGAAGACTAAACCTCCTAATTTTTCAGTTCACAGATACATTTGTTAGGAGAGACTTATACCATTGTGTTCCTTTTACACAATTCTGTCTAAAACAGAATTAATAAATGAAAGTACCAAACTCAAACTCTATTATTAGGTAGAAATTTTATATACATGTTATTACAGTGGAGTGACTTTTATGTATATAGATATGTCATGTCTTGGATTTAACTTCCCACTTCAGATATTTTCAGCCTTGAAGCCCTTTGCAGAAAACAAATTGAAAAGACTCACTTTAGTGGAATTCCACACATCTTTGTTCTGGCAGTACTAAATCTTTTCAGCATCCGAAAAGCATAAAAGCATCAGGCCAAGTTGGGCAATTGTTGTGTAAGAAGTATCAGTCTTACAGCTGTAGAAACACTAGGAAATAAGCCAGTTATAGAATAGCATAGAATAGAATTGTTCAGCTGAAAGACACCTACAATAACCATCTAGTCCAACTGCCTGACTACTTTGGGGCTGACCAAAAGGCAAAGCATGTTATTATGGTCATCGACGAAATGCCTCTTCAACACTGACAGTCTTGGGGCATTGACCACCTCTCTAGGAATGTTCCAATGTTGTGAGCACCCTCTTGGTAAAGAAGTGTTTCCTAACATCCAGTCTGAAGCTCCCCTGATGCAGCTTTAAGCCATTCCCACACGTCCTGTCACTGGATACCAGTTGATATGTGATAGACCACCCCACCATAATGCCATTTCCCTCCTCCCCCGCCACCGCCCCATAATCTAGCAGGATGTAAATATTCATGCATTTTTAACTTTCAAGGTACATCTACGTATTCGTCACCTCTGTCCTCACCAGGACAAATACAGAGCTGAAGAGAACCTAATGCTCTCTCTCCAGTATGGAGGAGTGAATGCATAACATGTCTTCTACTTTAATGTTAATCAGTCCAAACAAAGCTTCATCTCAACTAATCTGTCTCTGTATTTAATCCAGTATAAGCCATAACCTTTCTCAAAATTGAATGTAAAAAAGAATTAAAATTTGTAGCTAATTTTTTCCATTTCTCTCAATTTAATGCTAATATTAGATAAATCTTACTGCTTTCTAGAAGAAATTACTTTTGATACATAGTGTTGAGTCATCCGGTCAAACTGTGAAGTCTTTTGCCCTGTCCAATGGGATTTTTTAATTGTTGGGGTGATTGATTTCTGAAGCCACCTGCTATGCCAATCTTGGCTAAGGCTTTAGATGGAATTAATCTCATTATGGTATGAAGTATTTATCAAATGCTTTGGGGGACAAATATTTTTAACAGAAGCTATCTTTTTGAAATACATATTTTAGCTTAATAAAAGACCATTTGATCTGCTGATCTCAACTATTAAAAATCCATCTCCTGCAGTAAAGTTGATAAAATAGATTTAAAAAATACTTTTTATGACTAAAGTTAGGTTTTGGCATTCTTTTTCAAGTCAATACTTATACTATTGTGATTATACACTATAAAATGGGCACATAAACTGTTCAAATAAAAGCATACCAAAGGTGCTTTTCATAAAGATATGTATCTAATGTAGAAACATCCTTTTATTGTCTACCTTCTGTCAGAGTTTACAAACAAACTTTGGTTTAGGTACTGTACTTGCCATTCAGTTTTATGTGTTGTATCTGGCTGATTCCTGTAAATTGCTGCAAAGAGTATTCTGAAGGGCAAGATGATAATGAAATCATAGGATGAGAATGTTTTCAAGCTCTGGTTCTGTTATTTACTGTCAGCAATAGAAAGTTTTCCATTTAGCCAAGGTAAACTTAGACTTTGAAAGAGCAACCTTAGCTAGCTTCAAAGGAAACTGAAAACTGACTCAGTATGAAGTATTTACCTCATAGCTTCAATGTATTGCCAAAGGCATTTGCACTTGACTTGAACAAAAAAATCAAGTCATTATATTCAGCTACTTTTTCACACATCAGAAATCATAGTAGATGAGGCCCTTAGTGACATGGGTTAGTGGTGGACTTGGCAGTCCTGGGGTAAAGGTTGGACTTGATGATCTTAAAAGTCTTTTCTAACCTAGTTGATTCTATGATTCTCTTCTATAATCATTGATTTGTGATACTGCAGAAAATTTCCAAAATAATTAATATGTCAGACGAGCGGAGATGGCAAAGGGCAAGAGGAGACAGTCTTAGTGATCATAAATTAATAGAAGTGGGGTTGTGGATTTTTCAGAAGTCAGGAAGAGAGGTGGTATTTCAACCATTACACAAAGCCAGCTGTCTTTTGCAGGAGGACAAATAACATGCTTTACTGGGAAGCAGTAACGCAAGTATTAAGAAGTTAGATCAAATTTCTTTCTTTTTTCTCCAGTTGAGAAGGACGCTGACACCAAATTCCTTTGCGAGTAATGCAGAACTAATTAAAGATAAATCATGTTAGTGATCTTCAGAATACCAGAATCTAATCCTACCATGTTTCAGTCCTATATTGGAACATGCTATTAACTGGAAAGGTACAACTGAGTATCAATGACTGTAATCATTCCATCACCTTCTTGTTGTCTGGAAAAAGCATATGTGTGTTTTATTGAAATGTATTACTTGTATCTCAGTTAATGCAGTTTTGCACTAGATCACACTGACCTTGACAAACTAGAATTCTTTTAGCTAGTATTGTCTTATCGCTTCCTTTGCACCGTACCAAACTAATATACAACATCATCTGAGTACACAAAATTCTAGTAACAGATTCTTTCTTCCATAACTTTGTAATAAGCTGCTTAATTTTATTCATGTTTTACTTTTTACCTTCTATTTATCCAGCAATTGCTGTCTTTTATACTGTGGCTCTGTGTTCTGCCTTAAAGAAATGAGCTTAAACAGCAATATTTTTAGACTAAAATAGTATGTTTACAAAATTCATTCACCAGCTTTCCAAGCAATGTAGTGTACTTTTCTGAAATACTGGTATCAACAGAACTGCTTATTGATTTATTCAAATACTTAAGCATCAGCCACTATCTGGGTTGCAGTGCTGTCAGTTTTCTGCTAGGACTGCATCTAGAAAGCAATCTGGTGATCCCTTTTCCCCAGTCTGTTTTCACTCCTAAAGTACTTTTACCATTATTGTGTCTATTCTCCAAGGATGATAACATACTACCATAACTGAATTAAGTATGACTAGCAACTACACGGGTTATAATGTCCATAACATGAAATACGGGGATCTGAAAACTGCCCAGCTGGTTGCGAGAAGATTCTCAGCTTCTGTGGGACAACACTGTCATAAGGGCATAATGGGCAGTCACTGGCTGACAGGGCAGAGAGGAGTGTGAATTAAAGAAGGGAAGGCAGCAGTGACCAGGAACCTCATATCCTCCTCTAAAAAGCACAATTGCATGAACATATAGGGCTGTTGAAGAACAGGTCTTAAGCCCAGAGGTTGCAAATACTCATATTCGTACATAAAAGGAACATAACATGCACAGTCTCACATATGGTGCTCTCTTTGCAGCCCTGTATCTTGATGAACAACATTCAACAATTAAGAGTCCAGCTTGAGAAAATGTTTGAGTCCATGGGAGGGAAGGAGGTGAGTCATATTTATTTCCTGGTTCATTCGAAGTTGCTTAGAGATCATTAGCAGCACATCTGCAACCTACTCACAGCCTTCACTTCTGCTCCTAAAGAAAATCAAAATGTTTAAAAAACAGAAGTCTAGAAGAACATTTACTGTCCTGACAATACTTGAAAGACCTGACACTATTCACAGAAATATGCTAATGATCTGTAAAGTTCAACCAGCACTGGGTGTTCTGTGTTGCAACCTGTAGTGCCAGCTTTATTTTAATGTTGTATTGGACTATTTGCTTTTTTACGTATTGGTACGTTTTGCCTGTATCTGAAAATTTCATAGAATGTGCTTTGTGCTTTGTCTGTAATGTCATGTCTTTGTCTAATGCCTTTGACTTGCAATCCACTGAGCAGAAGAAAGAAGGAGAGAGATTCTCTTATGAGGTTTGTGATAGTAAGCATCTTTTATTATTCCTGACCATATTTTGTAAGGCTAATAACAGCCACATTTCCTACTAATTTCCATTGATGCATTTGTGTAATCCCCTCTGATCTAAAATCAAAAAGAGCTATGCTTGGGCATTCAGTTGACACTCTAAATTGAAAAGTTTTACTAGGCAGAGAGAGTAAAGTCTTTCAGAGATTTGGAAAAATCTATAAAACATTTAAGTGCACTTTTCAGTGTCTGAGGGCCTGCTTGTATCCAAGATTTAGCACCATTTCACTGAGAGCTGCTACTCAGCAGTCCAGAACATGCTGAGCTTTATCTCCTTTTATATTTCAGAAGACTTAAAAGTGTCTGAAGTCCTGTCAACAGTAAAAGGATGTAAACGTGTGCTTCAGTACTCTGCTGATTGTAGTTCTTGACTGTTTTGAAAGCTAATTAAGAAATTAACATCTTTTTCAAGCTATAGAAACCTGTCTTCTTAAAAAGCAATATTTAGGTCATGAATGTACTATCCTTATTATCAGTAGTTGGCTTTAAAAAAGAAGTTACACATACATCAGCTATTTTTGTTGAGACTGTAGTTTGATAGTTCCACAAAACTTTGATCTAATGTGACCATGTTACAGAGAGAATTAGAAAATCCATTCTTTCATATTTCCACATCCACAGTGGGATGCTGCAGATGTAAGGTAGTGCCTTGTGTCGTGGGGACATGATCCCCCAGATTAACTCCATGGTGAGAAGGTTTTGCTGAGTTAGTAATAGCTTCTTGAAGCTGCCATGGCAGAAACGCTTCCTGCTGCAGAGAACATGAAATGAACTTCAGCAGCCTTGTTGTCATTGAAAATTTTATATCAGACTTTGAACAGATGTATTTATCATCCAGATGTGGCTGGGTTTTGTGGTTCCTGTTAATCCCCTTTCACTCTGCAAATATAAATAATTTTGTCTTCCATTCTCTTACGGTCTATGCAAAGTACTTTTGTATTAAGGTTTTGGATCCAGTCTTACATGTTAGATGTCATGAATCATAGAAACAGCCAAGTGTCTATAAATCCTGATGAAGACAAGTTCAGAGGAAGGCAAAGTAGCACCTTAGGTCTATATCTATCAAACTATTTTCATATTAGAATATTTACTTGAGTCTCCAAAATGTTGTTTTCCTTTTGCTCCTGATAACTTATGTAACAACAAATATAGTCAAAATATAATTAGGGTTTTTCATAGCAGGTTTCTTTCAAAATCTCTCTTCACTTCTCATCCTTTTTGCTTTCCTTTCTGATATTAATGAGGATGTTACAGTATCAAAGCAACATTTCCTACAGATGTGGTGCAATGTGCGACCCTTGGAGAGAACTTGGAGATATTTTTCCCTTTGTTACCTGAAGTGCATCTTGATTCATGGTCTGTCAAAAAAAGATCCAAAAAATACATTCAAAGTTTTGTTGTTTCTTATTGGGAGAATTTCTAGAAGAAAAGCTCATTCATGTTATTTGTTTTGTCACATGTATCAAAGTGTCCCTAAGATGTTTGTCCTCAAATTGGAATACTTACTCCCCTAGCTATTCTCATGGCAAATTTGTCTTATTGAACTTAGAAGAAACAAAGACAGCAATAAAATCTGTAAGCAGGGAGAAGATAGTTTAATATCTTGCTTGTGGAGGGCATAAAAAGCCAGATGATTTTCAGCAGAATAATACGACCTATTTCAGTTTAAGCAAAACTAATTCTAAGAAAAATTAAATGCTGTTAATCTCCTCAGTGTCACATTGTGAACAGTATGTCTTTCAAACTATGCAGTCAAAATACCACAGTCAAGCAGCAGTCCCTATGTTCAGAGGAGGCTTACTGCATATTGCAGGGCAAGGAGCTCTATAAATAGAGGGAAAAAATTGGCTCTCAGCTCCCCTGCCATTAAAATAAAATAGTTTGAGCAATATGAATTTCCTTATTAACAGCCCTCTTCTGCTGTAGCCAAGCAGGAGGGGTACTTAAAAAATCACATAAACGAGACAGTCTGCCATAATAAAGTCAGAGTAGTAAAGTGGGACCCAACCTGCTGGATTCCTAAAAAAAATCAAGTGCAAAACCATGGGACCAGATTATCATATCGTTAGCTGCTGTTTGCTTCACCCAAAAGTAGTGCCTATGTTTGCACCGAGTCGTGTTTTCATGTCTGACAAGTTGGAAGCTGATAAAAGGGAAAGTAAGAACTTGGTGCTGCTGCTTTTCACCAGATGGCAGAACATGGCAGAAATGAGTTACAGCTATTAGCTGGGAAGCAAGAGCAGGTTGTTTATGTAGAACAGTATTACCTTTGCTGTAGAGAAATCATATTTCCACTCTGGTTAAGTTCAGTTCCAACTTTACATGTAATTCTTAGGAATTGCTATAAGAATCTATATGTGGTCCTAAAGACACAGGCCCCAGACTTAAGCACAGCAGTTCCAAAGCATCCATCTTAAATCTGTAAAGTCAGAGGCCTTCGTACTTAGGGCAGTGGCAGCCAAACATCTCAAAATGGAACAGCCAAGTGGCAGGGTTGGAGGAAGGATCGTGTCTATTGGAGACAAAAAGAACCACTGAAGTGATGGATCTGGTAAATACCTGTATCTTTCCTAGATGTACAACTATCTTCTGAATAGAAGTAGCCAGGTGGTCCCATTAGGAAGCTATAAACAATTAGAGCTGTGAAATTGCAGATAAGTGGAATTCAGATTAGAGAGGTTCCATTTAACTCATGCAAAAGAAATTTGTGTCTCTGTAGTTTCCTATAGAAACACTACCAAATTTGCAGTTAACAAGATTACGTCCATACTAACACACAGTAAATTACAGCATGGAATCATAGAATAGTTTGGGTTGGAAAGGACCTTAAGATCATCTAGTTCCAACCCCCCTGTCATGAGCAGGGACACCACACACTAAACTATGTCACCCAAGGCTCTGTCCAGCCTGGCCTTGAACACCTCCAGGGTTGGAGCATTCACAACTTCCTTGGGCAACCTATTCCAGTGCCTCAGCACCCTCACTGTGAAGAACTTCTTCGTTATATCTAACCTAAAGTTCCCCTGTTTAAGTTTAAACCCATTACCCCTTGTTCCTACCACTACAGCCCCTAACAAAGAGTCCCTCCCCAGCATCCTTGTAGGCCCCCTTTAGATACTGAAAGGTCTCCACGCAGTCTTCTCTTCTCCAGGCTGAACAGCCCCAACTTTCTCAGCCTGTCTTCATACGGGAGGTGCTCCAGCCCCTCATCATCATTGTGACCTCCTCTGGACTTGCTCCAACAGCTCAAGCTAACACATTATGTCAAAAGCAGCCAAATTCATCAGATGTTTAACACTTTTATGAGGCTCATATGTATAAAAAAAATTCAGTTTTAGGCAGCATTTGGAAACAACGATGTTCAAATATTTCTTACTTATTTTTTACCCATTCAGAAAAGTACTCTCTGCTTATATCTAGCATACAGAAAACGTCAAAATTTTAGTTATCTATTTAATAATCCAAAAGTAACAGATCTTCTGAAGTGTGCCAACAAATTTATAAGTAATTTCTGTTTCGGTTAAAAAGTTACTTTATTATTTAAGAAGATGGTAAAATAACAGAAATATTTATGAACCTAAGAGAGCCAAGCAAATTAAGAATTGGTACAAAAGTACGATTTTCATGTCAACAGGTTAATAATATTTCAGCTACCCAAAGAAGTTTGCTCTTTAAAAAAACTCAGACTTTGATACTTGAACAACCTACCAATATATTTTAAGCCCATGTATGCTGTGGACTGTAAATGGAACACAAGAAGCTAAGGGATAATTGGTCTTCTCTCTCTTTCATCTCCTCTCTATCTCCCTCCCTCCGCCTGCATCTCCCACCCCCCTTAATAATCAGTTAGTTTGGGGGGGGGTTCCTTTTATTTTCCTGAAAAATCATTTAGGCATGGCTTGTTATTTTTTCCTTCTTCATCAAATTCTATGGAGCAGATGAGACTTGAAGAGTAAAAGTCCCCAGTATTGTAGATCCTTCATGGTCATGTCTGTATATCCCTATATGATGTCTTAGATGCTGATCAGCATTGCCTTTTGTCTCACTTTGATCCTTTTCTTCTGGTTGATTGAAAAATAGGGTAACATTAGGACTAGGTTAGCCCTGTAATTCATCATTTAACCACATCTTGGTAGCTGAGATTTCTGCAGCTGAGCATTTACCTACATTCTTATACACTTCCCTTCCTATAATATTATAACACTCTATCTAGAAACAGTTGGCTCATGAAACAGAGATGGTTGATCATTACTCCCTTGCTACTAATTAATCTCAGCCAAGTCAAGATCTCAGCCAAGTCAAGAATACTGAGGATGACATGTCTTGGTCACTGAAAGCCTTAGATAAATGAATTAATCTTTTCATCACTGATTTTCCTCACTGGAAAACTTACCTCCTTTACATAGTGGGTTTGAGAGCTATATGTAACTGTCTGCAGAAAGGAATGTCGTGATGTCAACCTGCATAAGTCTTGCAGCTTGACAACTTCATTAAGCCAAACCATTTGCACAGTTGCTATAGTGCACTTCTCACACAATGCTTTCCTGAGAATAAGGAAACCTGGTATAAAATGCATTAGCAGGAACTGTTCAAACCATTGCTGAAATAATAGATCCTTCTAAAGCACAAATAAAAATCCCTTTTGAGCTTGTTGTTGCAAACCTGTGATGATTTTGCACAGTGTAGTCATGTTGTGAACCACAACCTTTAAGAATATTTCAGGGAGAAAGTAACCCTTCCTGCTTCAACTGCAGTACACTTTTTCCAAAATCTTGGTTTTTTAGGAAAGCACCGTAGCTGCTCTACTTAAAGTAATTTTATATTAAAAAATCAATGGAATAATTTATGCATGAAAGATATATCCACAATAGTTAGCGTGTGATGTGCAGAGGTACCAAAATCTGACTTACCTTGTCTCCACTGCACAAGGCAATCCTAAAACCATTTTTACCAGTTGTGAAGTTCCCCCAGAATTTCTCAGTATAGAACCACCACAACAATTCCCATCTTAGCTGGACCATAGCAGAATGGCTGTGGTATATTTGGATGATGCCATTTAAGGGCTGGTACCCTCTGATTCGCCCTGGGAACTCACTAGCACATGGAGGGACAGGGTAAAATAAATGAAAAGTGCACATTTTTAGTCCTGGTGAGACTCTCAAATTACCACATTGCCCAGTAGCTAAACAAAAATAACAATAACATTTAACGTGTTCTTGGCCAGCACAACATCCTCAGTGTCTAGCACCTGGATGGTCAGCCCGCATACCTCTTTATGTTCCGCTCCTCCCTATGACACTGCATTAATAAGCATGAGCATGTGTATACACAAGGCTGGATGTCCCGCCAGATGTCTCCAGCGGTGCACACACAAACTTGTTCATGCAATTTGTGAGCACAAAGTCCTCTAAAATATCCAGAACTTGCATGCACCTTTCTATAATGTGTCTTACATCCGCAATCTGATTTAATTCCATTTTGGCCAGACTAAGTCCAGTTCTAGGTGAATTTAGCAAATATATTATGTTTTCTGGTTATCACAACAGCTTCTGATAAAAAGTAACTACGATGGCCTTTGCAGTCCCAGTAACAAGATGATTCTCTAGCTTACGCATGATCTGCTAAGAAATTTTGAGTCTTTTGCCTGCCTGGTAATTTTGCTTTCTCTGCTGTGTACAATGTTCGGTGTGAATGCTTGTGTGTCCAGTATTTGTTCAATGTTAATATTCTAGTGGCCTTAAATTTGTGTTCCGTATGTATCCCACCCGAGGCAGTATAATTCTCTAGTGAAATGAAAGACATGAAAACACAAATAGAAACAGACCTGATTGTGTATTCTAAATGTGCAGCTTCCTTTGAAATGTCAGATCTGTATCGGACATTCCTGCAGAACAGAGCACAGATTTGAGGGTTATCATTGAAAATCATTCCTCAAGATTGTGATGGAGATAGCTGATGTTCCAGGTCATTCAGCTGTTAATTCACATTCAGCTGTTGATCTGATGATCATCAGCCATATACCACAATCGACTGTAACTATTTTTCCTAAATGCTTCAGCTCAAGGAGACAAAAAGTCATGCTATTATTTTTATTTGAAAAAGAATGCACAGCAAATAAACAAGCTGCAGATCAATCTCACAGAGACCTTTTTGATTAAACACCTATGCATGGGTCCCCATCGCTCTCAATGTAGAAATCTGTTTCTCCCCTGCATTCTTTTCTTTCCTATGTTTCGAAAACCTCTATCAGAGGTACAGGAGCTGTTCTCCCTGTGCATCAGAATGTGTTGCTCCGTGCTTGAATTATGTATGCCTTAATGGCTTTTAGAAACAGAAGTACTGTAGATTCCCCTCCCCCACGCTACATCAGTAGAAGCAGCATGGATAGTCTCCAAGCCATGTTTTCCAGCACTGGCTATTCTATTTCTACACTGCATTATTGGGAATATGGAAACATCTTCAACACAAATCACAAAATCAGTTACTGACTGATGAAATGTACAAAAATAATTGAAAGATAAAAACATCTGCAGTATTGTTAACACAAGCACTAATTTCTCACACATCCTTCTTTTGGTATGCCTTGTGAATGCCATTTGTCTGGCAATAGTAGTTCTGTTTCTGTGACTGCTAACACAACCTACACCATCCCATAGAAAGACATTGTTTAATGGCACAGTTTTGATTTCTAACAATACAGTTTTTCACTACTATATTTTTCTTTAAATGGTAATTGGATTTTAGGCCTGCTAAAGGAACCCTGTGTTTTAAGAGGTGTTTCCACATTTGATGTTCCATAGTGCAGTGTATCATTGCACATAATTCCTAATTCCTTAATTGTAATGGCAAACCCCAAAACATAGCATAGAAGTAAAATATAACATGACTTCTCTCTTTACAGTTGGATCCTGAAGCTAGTGTTATTCTAAAAGAACTTCAGATGAAACTCAGCAACGTTCTGGATGAACTCAGTGTAACGTACGCTGCAAGGTAACAAACCTATTTTACAGCAAACCTTAGAGAAATATTCCTGTTTGAAAATCTACCTCGTTGATTAACTCTGGGTGATTGTTTGGATGTCCTGAGGTACAGCTTGCTTCTGCCCCGAGGAAGTGGTGTGCATCTGTGTGCATGTGTGTGTGTGTGTGTGTGTTTAGACTCTGAAACATACAGCAGTAACTTCACTGTAAAGAAAACTAAAGATCGCCTGTGGGCATGAACGTGTTACAGGGTGAGGCTGATGGGTTTGTTCTGCTTTTCGGAAAACAAAAATTGCTGGGTTTTTTCTTGTCTGATGCTACGTTCAACTTCTCTCTCTGACCATGATGTTTATGTTACTTCCTGAGGCTGACAGCTTTTTCCGAGTGGCCTGCTTCAGCCAGGGGTGTCTGCCCATGTCTACCCTGCTTCAAGTGGTCACAGGGAATGGCCTTCTTTGGGTCATCAGCTTGCCTGTAGCTCGGCAAGAATTGTCTAATGAGCCTTACTCTCAAAATCTTTCCTTAATCAGAGTGCACGCTGCAGTCTTGAACGAATATGGTGCTGTGCCAGCACTGCTTGTGCTGTAAGAAGCTGTAAGGTATTTTTGCTTCAAATTAGAAAGGAATCTAAGAAAAGAGGGATTAGTGCTGTAGTGGTATTCATTAAGCAAAGTCTGCAGTTGCTTTTTTAATCCATTGATGAATTGGCTGGGTGGACAGTATGCACTATTTTCTGTATGCTTAGTTTGTCATATTGTCTTGCTTTATTTCTGCTCCCAGGCCCCGTTTCTCAGATCATTGACAGTGCATGAATATTATTTCTTTCCAGGGCTTCTTTCTGAATAAACCAACTAGGTTTCTGCAAATAAAACCCAGGAATAGTTCCATCTAGGATATGCTCCAGATAGCTACAACACTCCTCATGGGTCAGTTTATTTCTGGGATTTGTGAGGTTAACAATGTTAGAAAGATGGATAATGACAGGAAAAGCCAATGCACTATTTTGGCTTTTGTTGGAGGGATCAGTCAGAAGGATTTACATGAGCAGCTTCAATAGCAACTTCATGTTGATTTTATCTAGGGCTTTGAAGTGTGTGGGCAAGTACACATCCAAATGTACTGCAAAAAGTTTCCAATTTTTCCAGCGTTTTCACATGGAAATTTGCATTCTCTTTCTATGATTAGACGTAACTGGAATGGCTCAGTGCCCGCTTGTAACATTTCTCTCATAGTAAATTCTCTGTCACTTTTTTCAAGTTAATCTCTGCCATTTATTTTTTCACATTAATAGACCTGATATATTTATGGCCTCCATTTTGCATTTCTGTTCATAAATAATCCTTAAACCAATTCCATTCATCACGAATCAATCCATAAACCAAACTACCATGTGTGCTGAGCCTTATTCTGCCTCTGAACTATTGACTCTGATTAAGCGCAGTTTGGAATTGTTTAAATACATTGACTGAAGACTGTATCACACCAGTGACACTACCAGATCAGCTGGTAGTTGCTCAACCAGATCAATTAAGAAGTGGAACAGTTTTCAGAAAAGTTGGGCAGATACAGCTTGTAGAGGAAGAATTTGTTCCCGCTCACCTTGAGGTAGAAAAGATCCCTTCCAGGAGGAAGAGTCTGACTGCTTCTTAGGGGCTTGGGGTATTTTTGCAAAAGAACATTTTAAACAGTCCAAATGTTCCAGCTCTGTCTAAAGAGGTACGCAAGCTTCTGGTGGCACTGACTGTGTGAAACTCAGGAAGGTCAAATTGAGCTAAATGGGGCAAAATAATAAGATAAATTGTAAGAGGACTGGAGCACCTCCCGTATGAAGGCAGGCTGAGAAAGTTGGGGCTGTTCAGCCTGGAGAAGAGAAGGCTGCGTGGAGACCTCATAGCAGCTTCCAGTATCTGAAGGGGGCCTACAAGGATGCTGGGGAGGGACTCTTCATTGGGGATGGTAGTGGCAGGACAAGGGGTAATGGGTTTAAACTTAAACAGGGGAAGTTTAGGTTAGATATAAGGAAGAAGTTCTTCACAGTGAGGGTGCTGAGGCACTGGAATAGGTTGCCCAAGGAAGTTGTGAACGCTCCAACCCTGGAGGTGTTCAAGGCCAGGCTGGACAGAGCCTTGGGCGACATAGTTTAGTGTGTGGTGTCCCTGCTCATGACAGCAGGGTTGGAACTAGATGATCTTAAGGTCCTTTCCAACCCCAACTATTCTATGATTCTATAAAATCAGTAGCAGTTTTCTATTTGTCCTCAAGAAAAAGATGAGAGTTTGGTTCATATTAACCATCAAGAGAAAATTAATTTATAGTCAGCTGTTCCTATTGCCCTTTCACACAAAAATAACATCTTGGGAAGTTGTTGCTAGCTGGTAGTCAGTCATAGCCTAAACTGCAGGTTCTGGTGCCCCTATTGCTTCCAGAAAATAATTACTTGGCACCTCTATAAGATCGTGAAAAGCACAGTGACAGAACAGAGACAAAAGAGAAAAAATCAATGAATCAGAATCAATGAATTAGATCTATGAACTGTAATCCTTAGGGAGGCATTATTTTTGGTCTGTAGCACCTGATTATCTTGCATTTGTGAACTTTCCATCATTGCAGAGAAGATTTAAATCTTGTTGAAGACCCTGATGCAAAGTGGTAAATGTTGTTTTCTGTCACAGAATTCCTTCATTCACTTTTCTCTTTTTTTCCCCATCCTGTAGTTTCCAATTGATTATTGAAGATTGCATAAGACAAATGAGCAACGAACTGAATCAAATGAGGGGAAATGGGAATGCAGCAGCCAACAAGAACAGTGCGGCCATTGATGCTGAGATTGTGCTTCGGCCTCTCATGGATTTCCTGGACAAAACGTAAGTGGGGCAGTCCAGGAACAGGACACCACAGTCAGGCATAGTTGGTTTTACCCTGAAGCGTCTTTAAGACCTAGAAACATGCTGTAGTATTTTTAATATTCGTAGTATTTCCATGTGTGCAGAATACTGTGCTTCACCTGTTTGCATATTTTGCTGGATTCCTGGCCTGGAAAAAATTTTAGCTGCTTTATCTATATGTGTCAGCCTTTTATTTTTAGCAATGTACCTAGTCCCATGTGTTAAGTTACAAGAGGGGTATGAGTTGCTTTCAAGCAGTATGATTTTAAATTTTAATTGTCTTTGAGTTAAACCATTTACTCCTTGCACAAGTCTTGAAGAAAAGCCAAAAGCGTTTATACACGTACATAGGCTGTCCTAAGCTCTTTAAAAAACTGTGAGCTGACTTTTGCCTGTCAGGTTCAATTCCAAATTGCCATTTCTCAAAGTTGACTTCATGGCTTCTTAGAGATTTAGTCGAATAATGGCATAACAGAAACAAAAATGGGTTTTAAATTACTGTCTGAATAGAAAGCATTCCTCAGCACAGGAATGTTAAGTGGCATTTGAGCAGATGCTAAACCCATGCACAGAAAATATAGATGTGAAATAAAAAAAATAAAATAAATAACAAAAAAAAAAAAAACCCACAAACCAAAACTGTTAAGGGAACATCACCTTTCTTACAAATATCTTTCTATAAGGACTACAGATATACCATATTAATATGGTTTGGGTTTCAGTTATTTCTTTAATTATCATTTTATTTATTTGCTTACTAGGAGTAGTAAGAGATGTTAGAAATACGAATTGGCATGTTCATGATGCGATATGTATAATGATGTTACATAAACTTTTTTTTACATGAATTGATACAATTCTGTAAAATTGCCCACAAATGCCTTTGCATGACATTATTATGAAATATTTCTCCTGTGCCTGAAAATGGCAGCACTTTACTCATGGCACTGCTTAATCATGATGATACATACAAGATGGTTTATGAATAGACTCTTAAATAAAAACTATAGGTATATAGATCCTGTTAGTAACAGATGATGTGACTGCACAGACTTGCCAGTATATAGAAATAAATGCTTCCAAATGACAGCCCTGAATTTGCATTAGCTCTCAACACCCAATTCTACGTCACAGTAGAAACACAGGACAAGAGATGTTTGGGTTTTATTTTTAAGACATAAACAAATTATGTAACAAAACTTTAATTTAAGGGCTTAGGAGTGCTAAATTGTACCATCCATCAAACTGTGTAACTCAGCATCATTTTGCGTTTTCACTAAATATATATCAGTAATATATTAAGTAACAAATTGGAAAGTGGAGATTTACATGAGTTTTTAATCTGCAAGTGTTTTTACCAAAAATATTCACTGATAATATGTAAAATAACTAATTCTTTGAGAAATCCTCATTGGTAGAGAAAAGCTAAACCATAATGTCCATTGATCTGAGCATATGTGAAGTCTTGATGCTAGTTTGGAGACTGGTCTGTGTTTTGTTTCGTTCCAGTTTAAGTGTCTCTGCGAAAATCTGTGAGAAGACAGTTCTGAAACGGGTTTTAAAAGAGCTTTGGAAGTTAGTCTTGAACAAAATAGAAAAACAAATTGTGCTTCCACCACTGACGGACCAAACTGTAAGTGTCCCAGCAGATTACTGGATCAGTGCTTGCCATATCACATCTGATTGATTGCTACACTTGACCAGTTGTTGGGGTTTATTAGCGGTAGACTCTATATAAAGTGTCCCTGTTGGCAGGCATGGTTGTTGCCTTTAATTTGCTAGCTCTATTTACTTCTGAACACACAAATAAAATCAATGAAAATTAGGGTACTCTGAGAGATGTTTCCTTTTGTAGCTTTGAATATTACTTTCTGTCTGAGGTGAGAGGCACAGACATTCAGAACCACGGTTTATTTTTTCTTTTTTGGATTTATCTTACCATTGTCACTACTAATTTGTCATTAGTAGTGTACAACTAATACAACTAATTGTATTTCTTGGAGTAACTGTGATAAAACACGTGAGCATGGAATTATAGTAGGATTCTGTTTGTCTGAGACAAACATGTAGGCATTGCCCTTTGGTGACATTCCAGGATTTGGTTATTGCAAAATAACGGTTTAAGTTCCTAACACTTTGGTATCTTTTCTTACAGAAAGAAATGGGTTTGGCTTAACAGTGTGCTGTTGTGTTGCGTGTGACTCAACTGAGATGTCACTGTAGACAGTGAAGCTTTTTTAGCTTCCTGTGTGCTGAGGAACTTATTTAGATTAGCACCTAAGAGCTACAATTATGGACAAATATCTCATTGACATGCTCTGTAAGAACAATCCTAGCCTTAGCTTCAAAGTTTTAAATACACGAGACAGGAGCACAAGAAACCACTATCAACAGAAGACACAATATTTGTATCAAATGTGATACAGGAGGGAATCATGCCACAGGCATTTAACTACTTGGCCTTATCAACTGGATGAAAATAAGTCTTGTGTAATTGAAATTTCTATTTAGCTTTGCAAAACAGTGGCTTTGGCTAATGTCCTAGCAGAAAATAAGATCATGTTGACATAAAAAGCAAACACCCTGTAGTGAGTCTGTTTCCCGAATTTTCAATGTGATTACAGGGGCCCCAGATGATATTCAGTGCAGCCAAAGATCTTGGACAACTGTCAAAACTCAAGGTAATGGAGCCAAATGAAACTATGAGTGGCTTGCTTTAATAAAAAAAAATAGGTGAAATATTAGTGACTATAAGGCCACTCCTCATTCTCGTGCTTATTTAGAATAATAACACTGAATATGGCAGAAACTATTCACAGGTGAGTAATGATTTTACAGTCTCATTGAACCAAATTAAGAAGAAAAGAATGTATACTTCTATGGTAAGTGATCACTAGACAGGTGAAGAAGAGATCATTGCTGTGCTGCACAAGAAGGCCTCCTAAGCATTAAACATCATAAAAAAATAAATAATTGTGAGATCTTTGTACTTCCTTCTGGAACCAGCTCTTACAAAATTGGTAAGATGGTGGGGATGGATACAGTTGTTTGGGTTTTTTCTGTGTATTATTTATGGTGTGTATTGAAATATAGCATGTACCTTTACAATAAACTCATCAGCACTCCAGTACTGAAGTCCATAAGACACTTAATGGAGAGCTCAGACATTTGATATTGATGTCACTTTGTTTGCCAATCAATTTTTCCATTAGGTTTTCAGTTTTGGACAGAAATGTGGTAATTCATGCTTCTATGAATAATTGCTCGGTTTGCTAGAGGAGTTAAAATATTGCCTAAGTAAATCACAGGATGCTTGTTTTAGGCAAAGATTTCACAGGAGTGTAGTCACTTTATAAATCTTTAACTTCTGTTCTAATAGGAAACCCGTTCTTAAAAAAACACAGGGCACTAACAAATGTTAGTTAAACCTGATGGTTTATTAATAAAATTGGTTTAGTATCATCTAATATAATTATTTAAAGGTAATACTTAGTCTTCTCCCTCCCCCCCAACCCTCCAGAAGAGAGAAATATTATATCCTAGGAAAAGAAATAAAGCTACACAGATGCTCAGTATTAGACATTGGTTCTTTATCTCTACAGTCTATGTTTTCAAGAAACACTTGATTGCTCTAGGTTCTAATTTGTTGTAAAAGAAGTATGAAGTTGAATTAACCCTGTCAGTCATAGAGGCTTGAGGGGTATGTGGCAGCTTGCTTTATTTGTTTTTCAAAAACCAGACAGGCAACAATACTGTCTCAAAATCAGCTGCAGCCTTAACTTGCTTTGCAGGACCATGTGATTCGAGAGGAAGCCAGAAGCCTGACCCTGAGGCAGTGCGCGATAATGGAAGTAGCGCTAGCAACCATAAAGGTACAGCTTTACATGTTTTTCTGTTCTGTGCTTAAATGACCAAGAGCATGATGGACATAAACAACAAAATCTAATACAAAATGGTCCCTTAGAATCATAAAGATCCCTTTAATATGTCAAGAACCATTTGAAACTAAGCTCCTTGTACTGACTTGAAAGCAAATGTCTAAGAGTCTGCTTGCAGGAAAGTCAATAAAAAATATTCTACCAGTTGCAGACAGAATATGTTCCCTGAAAGGAACTGGTGACCAAAGCTTATCTGATTCCTGTGTTCCTTTAATGCTTAGACTTAGCGCAGCTGAAGCAGCTGGGCTAAATCCTTATTATGTTGCAGCATAGCCTCTTTTTCTCCAACAAAGGAGACACCGAGCCTGAAAAGTGTGTTTATTCCTCACTGCACTCTCCTTTAAATGTGTATGATGCATAGTTTTTATAGAACACCAGAAAACAAGGCTTTAAATACCAAGCATTACTGTGCACTAGCTTAAATTAAAAGTGCAGTTGAATTTTATCAACTTTTTACAGTTTTGAATTCACCACAGAATATACCGTCCCCCCTAAATAATTTGATCTAATGCAAAGATGCTGTTTAATTATTCTATACATTGGTCCCTTTTCAGTGGAAAAAAAAATTGTATCCATCACACACCTGTTAAAAACCACTTACTTATTAGGGAAAATCCCCCCAACCTTACCTGGTGCTAATATCGTTAATAGAAATACAAATCAATTTATTGGTAATTGATAAAATAACTAACTCTAGGACTTGATATGTCTGGCCGGATGAAAGCATTAGGCCATAAGCCAGGTGAAATGTTCTGGAAACTTTTTCTTTACTTCCACTCATTTTATTGTTATTGCATTATGCTCCGAAATGTGAAAATAAAGAGAGTAACAAAGTCCTTTTTCATTTTTTCTTAATTAAAAAATAGAGAATTTCATACAATCATCGCAGATATGGCTTCTGAAGTCAAAAGAAGCCATTAAGGAATATGTAATGTACTTATCTGTCTTTTTCGCATTGGCCTGGATCTTTACTTGGTGTAAATAACTTGAAAGCAATACATTTATAGAATGACAGGATATTTTTATGTCTGATGCTGAAGAGACAGCACATCAGGAAGGTAAGAAAGAAGGTTGCTACTTAAGTATGAAATGGAAGTGGACATATTTATGATCAAGTGTTGTGCAACAAAATAGTGTCTCAAAAGAGAAGAAGGGATTATCAGAGAGGGCTCCTAATTGCCATTTTTTGTACTTGCAGTGGAATTTACATTTCTTTCAGAAATAAAAATAATATTTGGCAATTACTGATATTCTGGAAACAGAAATGGAACAAAACGCTGAGGTATCCTGTGCTCCCACAGTAAGCCCTGGGGAGTCCTCAGTTCACTCTGTGAATCTAATTATTTTCCTTTCAAAATATTTGTTCTAAATAAATAAAAGCTGGGAAAATGTAATTTCTAACCTTGTGGAAAAGGTTAGAAATAGGGAAAATACTCTATTAATTCAGTATTCTTATCTCTGTGCAATGCATTCATAAACTGAGCAAAATAAGTCTCTGGAAAACCTATTTTCAAATTGTAAGGCAACAACCTGGCATTAAAACCTGCAACTGGACTGTGTGTGTGATATGGCAGGTTGGTTGTTTTTGTCCAAAATATGAAGCAAATAGCCTTGATCATCCAGAAACCGGTCTGAGAAAGTTAACAAAGACAAACTTTGTGAGTTAACTCAAGAAAAGGGCTGCTATGTTGATTGAGGAATGTAGCTCATAAGTCTAATGATCAAAAGATAGAGGGTTTTGGTAATGCTAGGTAGGTATGGTTTGTTTAAAAGCAAAAGAAATGGCTGCCTAAATTAGAATAACTGAAGGATAAAATAGCACATGGTATCTGTTCCAAAAGTGAGCAACTGATCATTGTAAGGGAAGGACTTGTGAGGAGGAGGTCTATGTCTGTGCTTGCGGTCTTTCTTTTTTTTGTTTTTCCTTTCATTAGTTTAATTTTTAGTACCAAAAATTAATTTACTGAGCAACTTATAATTTACTAGATGATGGTGGTGTTAATGTTTTGAAGAACATAAAGGAATAATCTCTTTCATCTTAAATGCATGTAATATATCATCAGTCTTAGAGAGCCTTACCAATTTATACTTACATTTTGTAGCGTAATTTGCAACTTACTTACTTATAGTTAGGAGATGTGGCTTTCTGGCCTGTTATCTCAAACTGAGCTCTCTCAGCTATCTCGTTATCTTGCCCAGAGATAATGCCCATTGAGAATATTGTGCTATTTTCCAGTTTTATCTTTGCAAGCACTCTAAACCCAGAGGCACGCCACAAAGTGAACCTGCCACCCAATATGACTTGTGTGGCATTTGTCAAGTTTTGGCTGTGACTGCAGCAGCTACAGCATTGATTTCCACACACTCAACGTTATACATTTATGTCTGCGCCTTTCATTTGTCAGTGTGCCTTTCAAACCTCTCTTGTCACCTGTAAGCCTTGAAACCCCTTAGACTGGAGGATGAGTACCAGGTGAACTATTTTAAAGCTTGCATCCCTAAAGAACAAGGTATTAGGCGTCCAACTGAATCTGTAAAACCCTGTATACTCATGATTTTTCTATATTTATGATATATTCACATTACTGGTTTTACATGCTAAATTTAACCTTTATAGACAAAAGCAAAAGAATATGTAAAAAACACAGGAAAATTAAAGCTAGGTGTCCTTGTTTCTTTAAAGATCTGTTAGCTCTTGTGGACCTGCTGCTGCAGATAACATTTTATTGGGAGATAGAACTAATTAAAAATCACATTAATTGTCACAATACCAGGAAATATCAACAGATTTTAGCATTTGCTTATAAATTGATTAAGACCCTTAGTGAAATTGTGAATACAGTTTCAAACAATTAACAGATTTCTTTGGAACATATAGTATGAAATAATTCACGTGGGAAGATACAAATGTCATGTAAGTATGCAATGATGAGAAGATAATTTATTCAGAACCTCTTAAATTGACATTAACTGCCCACATAGGATTAAAACAATATAATACTTGTCAGCCTGATGACTTCTAATCCTTCTTTTGCTCCCACAGATATTTTTTCCTCTGTAACAATCAGTAGACATCAGCACAGAAATGTAAATAATGACTTTGCAATGAAACATACATTTATGTTTCATCTCCTGCAAATATCTTGAGGAGCAGAAGGTGACGTGTAGACTAACACACAGTGGGTGTGTATGGACTATGGTCTGCTTTGTCACAGACAAGCTTAGTATAAATCATGTAGTATATATTTATGTATGTGAACTCAAATATATTCCTTTGACAACACTCCAGAAATGCAGAGACAATAGATACTACTTAGTGTCTACCACTCCCTGTGTGGAGTGGACCAATATTGCCTGGCATCAAGCAGTCACAGTGTTTTTCTGCATAAAGAGAACTACATAAAGTGGTTACAGCTATTCTGTCCTAAAGGAAATACTCTTTTAAAGGGTGAAATGTACACTCTGTCTTCAAGGGCATTACCAACCTTTTCTCTTCCATCCTCTTCCTTTTACAGTTCAGTACCTAATGTGGTCAGACAAGGATGACACGCATATTTTTTGCATATCCACAGTAAACCAGGTCAAAATTGGAATCAAAAAGATAATCACTATGGAAACTGCCACAAAATTTATTATTATTTCCCAAAGCATAATCATAACTTCTGGCATAATCACAATGCAATTCTAATCCAAAACTTCATATTCTAGGATCTTGCCTTTTAAAATTTTCACAAAATTCCCCCATTCCTCAGAAATAAAATGTTCTTTACTTGTGCTGTAAACCATGCCTTGCTTTTAGACAAGTTTTTTATATAAAGAATTAAGACCGATTCCACTTTCCCCAACCTAAAACAACCCTGTAAATACATGTACCAACTTTTGATATAGAAATACTTGAGATCATGAAGACCAAAATCAAAATTCAGTTTATTTTCTCTCCCACAAGGCTTAGATTTTTACCTTTAGAAAGCAGCTCAGTAGTAGAAATTATGACAGATTCCTCAATTGCTGTAATCATAAATCTAGCTCCATGTGCCAGGTGTTATTTTTTAAAGTTGTGTAAAAATTTTACTTAACATAGTGTGTCAGTAACGAGGCCTCTCTCAGATGACTTGTCTCTCTGAACAACCAGGTTTGTTTTTCATTGTAGCAATACTTCCATGCTGGAGGCAGTGGGCTGAAAAAGAATTTCCTGGAAAAGAGCCCAGACCTACAGTCCCTGAAATACGCTCTTAGCCTCTACACACAAACTACCGACGCCTTGATAAAGAAGTTTATAGACACTCAGACATCTCAAAGTAAGTGATCTGTAAAAGAGATATAACTATGTCAAATTCTATCCATCTTAAACGTTTTAAATGACTGGTTGCCAATTGCATTTTCCAAACACTGTGGTATTTTAGAGTTTATTGGCACAGATTTGCCCATGTGATGTTATCCCTTATCAATGGCTATTGTCAGTTAGTGGAGGTTATCTGAAGGCAGTGCATTTATCAGCTTCTCACTTTACGTGAAGAATAGGTCCCATAGTTCTATATGAACACTAAACATCAGGGTTATTTATAGGAACACTCCACATACAGCCAGGGTTGTAGGGGCCATACCTGAATGCTTATCATAACTGCAGAAAGTAAATCTGTGGAGTACATTGGCAGTTCTAGATACTTTCAGAGCTGAAGGATATTCATTACTAATCATAAATAACTGCAAAAAATCATGTTATATCCCTTAAGGTTTCCTTCTGCAATTAATAATAATAAATTGTGATCCACATTACAGAACCCACAGCATTCTAGCATGTCATCTGTACATTCAAAAGGAATAGGCTTCTGTAGGCTAAAATACAGTATTATTTTCCCTGTCTAGATTTTTTCCTTTGTGCATTTCAGAATCCAGATTCAAAACCACCCTGCTGAAAATGTCACATCATTTCTTATGCCTACTAATCAAAATTCAAAATTTGGATACTTTCCCAAAAGTAAACAAAGGCAGAGAACATGCAAGATTATAATATTAGGTGTACTTTGAATCTGGACATCAGCAATGCTGAAGCCACTTTTTCCTGATCTGGAATTTTGGTGCAGTACACCAAAAAAACTGAAACACAACCTCCTCTTCATCTAAAATACACATATACATCATTAATGATGTGTTTCGGAAGAAGACATTCCATGGTTTCAGTAAAAGGCCAAAGATTCCTTCTATTTTCAAAAAGAAGCTATTTCTTAGCATTTTTCTTCTTCATCTAGGACAGTGTTTTCATACTTCCACAGTACATAAAGGAAGTGGGTTTATGTAGATAATGAGCATTATATTTCAAGTTGAAGGTTTCTTCATTCTAGAAACCCCAAGTTTTTGCAGAATCTTAATTTGTGATAGATTTGTTTTGAATGAAGCATGCATTTGTAAAAATGGCCTGTCTGCCACTTACTCTCTTTGGGAAGGAAAACAGTTGGGTGCTCTAGAAAGAATTACCCTGCTCCCAGAGAGGAGAACCAGAAAAGCTGCAATTGGACAGTTAAGCTGGAAATAGTTTGGGTTTGCCTCTGAAGTACGGCATGTTACTCACAGTATAAAAAGCATGAAACATTAGTTTTGCAGCTTGCCCCAAGATTAAGTCCAAGGAATGACTTCCTAGGCAGTTTCCACGTTAGACTGAAGATCTCTGTTAATGATTCATACAAGTGAAAAAAACTCCTATAGAACTTCAATATATAAGGAACATATTCTCTCCCCTCCCTCTCAAAAAAGATTAACAATATGGATTTAGGCAGAAATTATTAATTAATAATTAATTTTGCTTTTCCTTATGCATACTTTCATTGAGCTTCAGGATTAATAGTTATCCAGGCTGTAGCCATAAGCAGAGATCTTCTATAAATCCTGAACCACAAACTTGTATTTCCTCATTTTCATCATGATTTCAGCCTGAGGTCAGTATTCATTCCTGTGCACACATTAGCATGCCTATATTTGCACACTAGTATTATCAGAAGTTAACCACTGGGAATGAAAGTTAAAGAAAAGTGACTCATAGCTTTTCAACATCTTTTAACGTCTCATTTAAAAGAGCTAAAAACCTAATCTAGTACAACATCCAACCTCACAGCTGTAACTGTCATTAGCATTTAGTTAAAATGACCCTATTTGCAAGTAAAAAACTTTCTCTGAAGTATAATCAGATTTACATCTGCCCTCATATTCATGCTGGTAGCCAATCCATAACCAATAGACAGTTGGATGTAGTTACACTCAAAGCAATACAAAGATTGCTTTAAATCTAAAGAAAATAGCATATTGAATAATAACTATTATTGAGCCCGGAAGTCACATTTTAATTGAATTAAGTTATACCCTCACCTTTTAGACTACTTAATTTAAAGGATAACAAAATTAAAAGGAGATTTATGGTTGCGGCTTAGATTAATAATTAATCTAAAGTTATTAAAGTCTTAAATCTTCAGTAATTTCATAAACTACAGCCTGTGTGTGAATGTTTACATTTGGTTACCATCAACACTAATTAGCTTTAGCAAGTTTCATAAAAAGACAGCACCTCAAACACTGCAGTGCCCTGAATTTACTCTCATTTATTACCACTAATTTCTCCAAAGTAAATGCCACTGTTGCATCTAAAATGGCTACTTATTGGAATAGAGAAAATCTTTTTCTTATAAATTTACAGCAGCTTTGTTTTTTTATAAAGCCTCATTAGCGAATGCTACTGTTATTGTAAGGTACATGACACAGCAATCTGTAGTGGCAGGACTGCAATATATTTTTTAGCTCGACTTTAAAGAGTTTATATAACTTACACACCAAAATCAATACTCATCTAGCAACTTAGCTCATACTACACTCCCTTCTTGTGTGTTCAAATGGCTGCAGAAAACGCTGTTATTTCGTATCAGCTGATTTGTATCCAATTTCTTCATTCTTCCTCTGGATTATTGACAGGTGGAAGGGGAAGAATACATGATATCAGATTTGAATACTAAACTGATAGTTAACTTAGAAAACAGCAAACATGCTGTAGTTTAGGCAAGCAGATAGATAAAATCAGAGTACAGAAAACAAAAATCATTTAGCAGCTCTTGTAGGTTGAAAAGATTTTTTTCTGCTCTTTTGTGTGTCAGAACTGCTGTATTATTAACTGACATATTTTGAAAGCTATACCTGTAATCTATTACGAACTTTAAGTCCTACAGAGCAGCTCCAGTTCTGTCATAATTTATACCTCAGACAGAATTTAACTTAAGAAATAATCCCACTTCATCCACCGCAGTTTCACATTGACGTCACAATCATGTGTTACACAACCTTATTTCATGACAGAAAAAATACAGACCTGCATTAAAAGCTGCAGAAACCAGTGTACACTTGTAAGGAAAGTATAGTAAGGAACAACAGAAAACATAAGATCAGTGAACAAACTTACAGAATTACAGCTAATAGAAATATTCTACCATATCCTGTATCTAAATAAATGCATTCAGAATACTGCCAGAAAATAATTATTTTAAGAGTTCATACATAAAAAACAGGCTGCTGTTAAAGTATAAGGCTTTTACAGAATGTTCACTTAAGAGGCTGTCACAATAAAAAATTTCTTTGGTTACTCCTTAAATGAGACAGTAAAGCATCTAAACTAGAAATAAGTAAGTTGTATATTATAGTTTCTCTTAAGTCTTTAAGAAAATGAACACAAACTACTGGTATCCATCAGTTATATGACACCAATTTAAAAAAATTACTTCTTAGCAGTGTCAGTGGAGCATTCACTACATTTATAAAGCTCCAAACTTGAGAGGCTGTACTTGCCTGGATGTTGCCTGGTTAAAACACCGAACAATATATACGTATATAAACACACACACACATATACACATGGATGGATGGATGGTAATAACTGTATACTAACCTCTGAGATCAAAGCTGGCTCATCCCTGGTTTCTTCCCAAATGGACATACAAGTGGCTACAGATAATGGAGCAACACAATGCGGTTGTGCAGTTGCCAGCACTCATAATGCAAGGCATGGCTCACACTAGCCAGAGATGAAGGGGAAGGCATTAACTGGGATTCCACCCTGACACTCAAATCAGTACATTCTACTCACACCATAATAGTCTGCTTTTACGTTATATCAACCTCAATACCTTCACATCAAGTGATCCTTAGGATAAATAGTTTATCTTTTCTAATCAAATACAAACCTTCTGAATCTTTTCAGTCTTTTCATGGCAGCCTGGTGAAAGAATGGTTGCTGAAAGTCAACCACCAAGTAACTGAACTTGGTTATCTGAATCACACAAAACAATTATCAACAGTTATATATACAAATATATATAAATATCAACAATTTTTTAATATATATAGAGCAACTTCTTAAAGTATGTATTGAGGTTTGTGTCATTATTATCACTAAAAGCAGGTTTCCCTGCTTGCCTTCCTTTAACACATAGAAGAGACCATTTAGCTTACTACATTCAGCTCTTAACAATTCAGCTTTAATTTACATTGTATTAACTAAAAGTGTTAAAACATGCACTCAAGATTTTCCTCTACAGTACAGGGCCTCATGATCCTGTGAAAAATAACTTGATTAGTCCCCTGATCTATGTTCTAATAAGTCAGCAGATGGACTCCAGACATATACATGTATTTTACTGGCTTCATTAATCATAAGATGACAAATGTTCATCTGGATTAAAACATTGATTTCATAGCTTCATTTCTTGGAGCTTTGGGCATTGTGAAAGCTTGAATAATTGTTCAACTTTTTCATTCTTATGTCCCATATAGAAACGAGGACAAAGCAGAATCCAGCTAAAATCATGTGTATAGAGACCAAAGGTGAAAAGATTCAGGGAAACGCTCCTATTGAGTCATGAGATTAAGAGTGGACCCCTTTGCTTTCTAAACTCCCAAAGGAGCTTGGGTGTGGCTGGATCTAGTCTTAATCTCAGACTTGAACAATGATTTCTATCTAAAGGGTTACAAACATACCAATTCAGCACAAAGGGAATTTTTACACAGCTTTCATCTAATGGCAGTTTGTAGGTTTAAGGTGGATCTTATTGAGTTAATAGAAGTTAGCACAATTGCTATAACGATCTATACACACACACACATAAAGACATAGAAAGGTACGTGTTAAAAATTCCCCACAAGGTCAGTGAAATATTCACACCTAACGTGTCAGTGTTTCTCAGCAGGTGAGGATCAAGTCCTGAGGACTAGGGGAATTCAGCCCAGGTTCCATCTTCTGGTGACAGTCCCAATGGTCCTGTGATAACCTATCACAACACTGAGAGTTTGCAAGCTCTGAGGGTGTGCCACTCGGAGATGCTGTGCATCACCCACTGTGGCTCAGGAGAGCTCCAAGGGCCTCACTTTGGACCACTATCTATAGGGTATAATGTATGCAAAAGTTTAATATAATTGTGTAAATTTATTTTTAAAAAAATTTAAAAGTTAATTTAAGTAAAGGATTTCTGACAATATATGTTTATGTATTCAGTGAATTCTGACATTCAGTCCTTTCAAAGCAAATAATAGATTATTGCTTTGTAATAACTGCAGACAGTATAAAAGCCTTTCAAATGCAAACAGGAGTTCTGTTTTCGAACTCCTGAGAACACAAACTGATCACTTCTGGCCACTGTGTAGACTGCTTCATAGATACTTCATAGATAGCAGCTTCCAGAAATTGAATATATTCTCTCCTCAGAGGTATGTAGGTTCTCACATTAAGGAGGAGAATATCATACATTTCTGAGTTCTCTGGAACCTGAGCTGAAAAAGATAATGAATCTAGATCCACATCAAAACACCAGCTGCTGGTTTCGGTGACAAAGTCCAACCCTTATTTTTCTACTGAATTTCTCCTGAATTAAAAAAAAAATTCTAGATTTGACTATGCCTCCTTGTCTCATATTTCTTTTCTCTCTCACACACGTAATCTGACAACTGAGATTTCTTTTTTTGAATAAAACAAGTCCTGGCAACTTTGCAAAAGCAATGCAAGTTTCTGGAACAATTGAATACAGTAGAATTCAATAGCAAACAATGGACTACAATAGAATACAGTAGAATTCAATATCAAACAATAGAATACAGTAGAATCTGATAGCAAACAGTAGAATGCACTGGAATACAATAGAATACAGTAGGATTCAATAGCAAACAATAGAATAAAATAGAATAGAATAGCAAATAATAGAATACAGTAGAATTCAATAGCAAACAATTGAATGCAGTAGAATACAATAACAAACAATAGAATACACTAGAATAAAATAGCAAAAAGCAGAATTCACTAGCAAACATTAGAATACAGTAGGATTCAATAGCAAAAGATAGAATACAGTAGAATACAATAACTAACAATAGAATACAGTAGAATACAATAACTAACAATAGAATACAGTAGAATACAATAACAAACAATAGAATACAGTAGAATACAATAACAAACAATAGAATACAGTAGAATACAATAACAAACAATAGAATACACTAGAATAAAAT